CGGCTGCACCCTCAGCTCCCAAGTACCTGATAAGTTCATGATAAATCGGTATGCCTGTTGACTGACAAGGGGCCCGTTCCCAGACTTCTATCTTTTCTCTGGCTATTTTTGACTCTGCTCGGCCGACAATTGCAGTAGTTGCAAAACTGAATGCATGGCCTTGTTCATTGCTATGTGAGGCTACCAGTGAGTTTGGGTCTCCTCATTTCACCGCTTGCTTGCAAATATGGTGCCCATCTGGAGTTTAAAAGAAGGGGAAGACATCCTTGATCTCATGACGTGTGAGTGAATAAATGCACAGATGGCTGTGTCTGCCCCTACTGAGCAAGAAAGAGAGAAAGCAAACAATTAAACCTAAAGATGCTCAAGGTTGTAGCAAGTCCCAATTTGTACTTGGCTCCTAATTCCTTGATTCTGAATACTTTATGTCAGAGCTCCCCAATCTTTCTGACTTGGTGGCCCGGAAGGAAAGGGAGCAGCAGAAAAATGTGCACGCGGGCGGCCCGCACACACATATGGAAATGGGCACGCACATGACAACAGTACTAGCATGTGTGCACATGCACAAATGGGCAGCACACATCCAGGGCCCCCGCTCTGGTGCCTGCACGCATGCGCAAATGGGCTGCCGGCGCCTGCGTGACACTGGCGGCGGTGCTAGCATCCCCACACATGTGCAAATGAGTCTGCTAGCTCACGTGCGCAGTGCTCCCATGAGCGGGGGGCTCACCAGTATTCCCGGGGCTTGGTGGCCAACAGGGCACAGCCTGGTACTGGGCCATGGACCATAGATGGGGACCCCCTGCTTTATGTGATAGTCCAGAATTGAAGAAGCTTCTTGAACGAGAAGCGAAACATTTTCAAGGAGAAACCCAAGAAAGTCCAGTTGCCTTTTGGAAAAGCACTTTGGGGATAACCATGACCTGGAGAATTTCCATAGATCAGGGGTAGGCAACCTCGGCTCTTTTATGACTTGTGGACTTCAACTCCCAGAATTCCTGAGCCAGCCATGCTGAAGGGAAAGGGAGAGGTTTCCAAGCTGAACCATGCTGGTTCAGGAATTCTGGGAGTTGAAGTCCATGAGTCATGAAGGGACCAAGGTTGCCTAGCCCTGGCCTAGACCATTCTTTACGCATGGACTTCAGTTTCCTGTATCCTTTGCAATGACCATGCTGGCTCAGGAATTCTGGGAGTCGAAGCTAAGGCCAAGAAAGACCAGCCTAGAGCAGGGATAGGCAACCTTGGCTCTTTTGTGATTCGTGGACTTCAACTCCCAGAATTCCTGAGCCAGCCATGCTGAGGGGAAAGGGAGAGGTTTCCAAGCTGAGCCATGCTGGCTCAGGAATTCTGGGAGTTGAAGTCCATGAGTCATGAAGGGGCCAAGGTTGCCTACCCCTACCATAGGCCCTTCACACTTTATTTTGTATTATATTTGAGTCTTTACTGAGGTTGTATTTTCTCATTTGTTTTATTTGTAAACTGCTTGGAGAGCATTGGCTGTTGGACCGATGAAACATTTTAGAGCAGGTTCCTCAACGCTCCATGAAAAGGGGTGGGCTGCCCACCTCTTACCCACCCTCCATAAATCTTCTATGTTGAGGCAGCTTTATTAGCATCCTCTCGCTTATCCAGAACACCCCCTGGCATTGCTGAGGCAGGTCGGTAGGGACAGCGGAGAGGCGAAAATCAGGCGACGCAACATTTGTACTAGTTCCACCTAATGAAATGCTGATTTTCCCCGGAGCAGGTCTGGGATTTGCAATTAAAAATTGATGGGAAATAAAGCTGCACCATCTGAGGGGGATTCGCTGGGTAAACAATGCTTAATCCCGTCTGGGACCCTCGGTCTTAATGAAGAGGCATGCAGATGTTTGCTTAAGCTAACGCTCGTCAGTGAAGCTTAATCTCTAAAAAGTTGAAGGATCAAACTGCTTAGTCTGAAGTGAGCGACCGGTCTTTGGGAGAAGGGAGGTAAATACTCTTGATCCTCTTTTTAGCTCCCGGTAGCAAGTTGGTCTTGGCTGTGCATTTTCCATGGTTACCCAAATATCCGGATGGGCTTATATTAGGATGACAATTATTTCGCACGGCCCTTTTCATTCTGCAATGTAAGTGGGGATTGGCAGGGGGCTGGACTAGAAGACCTCCAAGGTCCCTTTCAACTCTGTTATTCTATTCTATTCTATTCTATTCTATTCTATTCTATTCTATTCTATTCTATTCTATTCTTTCTGTTATTCTACTCTACTCTACACTATTCTACTCTACATTACTCTACTCTACTCTACTCTACTCTACTCTACTCTACTCTACTCTACTCTATTCTAATCTATTCTATTCTAATCTAATCTAATCTAATCTAATTTTTCTATTATTCTATTCTAGTCTACTCTACATTACTCTACTCTACTCTACTCTATTCTATTCCTATTCTATTCTATTCTATTCTATTCTATTCTATTCTATTCTATTCTATTCTATTCTATTCTATTCTATTCTATTCTATTCTATTCTATTCTATTCTATTCTATTCTATTCTATTCTATTCTATTCTATTCTATTCTATTCTATTCTATTCTATTCTATTCTCTACTCTACTCTACTCTACTCTACTCTACTCTACTCTACTCTATTCTATTCTATTCTATTCTATTCTATTCTATTCTATTCTATTCTATTCTATTCTATTCTATTCTATTCTATTCTTCTACTCTACTCTACTCTACTCTACTCTACTCTACTCTATTCTATTCTATTCTATTCTACCTTGGAAGGACATGGGATGGTTGGTGGCCTGTCTTGAGCAAGGAACTGGATGTGTTGGTGACATGGTTGAACATGAACAAGGAACTGGGTACATCTGGTCTAATAAAGTAAGGACTAGGGGTGACACGTTAGCAGTCTTCCAATATCTGTCACAGAGAAGAGAGGAGTCGATCTATTCTCCAAAGCATCTGAGGGGAGGACAAGAAGCAATGGATGGAAGGTCCTCAAAGAGAAGTCCAACCTAGAAATTTCCTGATAGTGAGAACAATTGATTTAGTGGAATGGCTTGCCCCCAGAATTTGTAGGTGCTTCATTACTGGAGGTTTTCAAGAAGAGATTGGACAGCCATTTGTCTGGAATGGTAGAGGGTCTCCATTGAGCAAAGGGTTGGACTAGAACAGGGGTCTTCAAACTTGGCTCTTTTATGACTTGTGGACTTCAGTTCCCAGAATTCCTCAGCCAGTGTGCCTGGCTGAGGAATTTCTGGGAGTTGAAGTTCACAAGTCATAAAAGGGCCAAGTTTGAAGACCCCTGGACTAGAAGAAGTACAAGATCCTTCCAACTTTTATTCAATAATGTCCGGCAAGGTTCTTGACTTTTGCTTTCCAATCAGACAAAAGCCTACAAATACGTCTTTCATTGTATTTGCTCCCCCCAAAGTAGAGACAATCTAAATTTCCAGTGAGACAGAACAACAACAACAACAACAAAATCTACCCTGAGAATTTCTCCGACATATTCGGAGTGAAAAGGGAGTGAAAAATATCTCTTACTGTGAAAAGGGAGAGATGGAGGAGAGGGAAAATAATTCTCTTTTTCATCAGCCCAGCATGAATGGAAAATGCAAGATAATCAAACTGATTCGTTTTCCAATAAATGCACTCCAGGATGACAAACCTGATGCAAATTCAATTTTTGCCTAAAAGGAAAGTCTAATAAGCAAGATCAGTTCAGAGACAATCCCCTCTAGCAAAATTCAAACACGTCCAGCCTCCTTGTCTGGAGGAATATATGAATGGAGTTATGATTCTAAGGTTCTTGGTAGCTGGGTTTTACCTCCCTACCCACTTTCTCATACTAAAAGGGAGCAATTATTGAGAATTATAAAAATATGTCTCTCCTTTCTCTGCTGGCATATGTATTTTTCTCTAAATGAGCTGTAAATATAAAGCTGATGTCAAACTAATTGTAGGAGAGCAGGCAGAGCTGGGGTGGGGTGGAGTGAAATGTGTTACTAGCTTAGAATTGTTCTGTTGGCTGGCTGAGGAATTCTGGGAGTTGAAGTCCACAAGTCTTAAAGTGGCCAAGTTTGGAGACCTCTGATCTAACTCATCATTTGTAGGTCACCATAGTATACCATGTGCAGTGGTGGGATTCAATTAGCTGAACAACTGGTTCTCTTATTGGATGCAGGCCTGGGCCTCCAAGGCCTAGAATGGAATTCCGGAAGTGGCATCCATGCACTTCCGGTGGGCTGTTCTAGGCCTGGGAGGCCTCCTCCAGGCCTCCGAGGCCTAGAACGGACTTCCAGAAGTAGCATCCACGCACTTCCAGGGGCTGTTCTAGGCCTGGGAGGCCTTCTCCAGGCCTCTGAGGCCCAGAACGGACTTACAGAAGTGGCATCCATGTACTTCCAGTGGGCCATTCTAGGCCTGGGAGGCCTCCTCCAGGCCTCTGAGGCTAGATTGGACTTCCGGAAGCAGTGTGCATTCAGCCAAACTCCAAACTCACCAATAGCTGAGCTACCAGTTCTATTGAACTGATGCGAACCGGCTGAACCCCACCACTGGCCATGTGTCAACGTTGGGAGCTACTCTCCGTGACTGATCCAACCAAGATCTGAAGCTGGTATTTTCCAGGTATTTTGGACGATGCTCCAACCATTCTTTAGTCATATTGGCCGGGGCTGGTAGGATTTAGCCCCCAAACACCGAATTGCTTGCTCCTATATTGAAGAAAATGCATTATTCTTGCTATTTTTCTACCAGTAAGGAGTCAAAGACTTCGAAAAGGCCCCAAAGATGCTTTTTCACAAGGCAACTGGCAACCGGACTTTCCAGTTGCTTCAAGAAAACGCATTTTTGGGATAACTATGACCTGGATGATTGAGAATCTCCATAGACTTCTAAAATGCTGTTATTTCCTGCGGTGGGGCTTTTGCCCCCCCCCCCATCTTGAGGTAGCTAATTTATTTGTTATTCACTTCAGGGTCTGCTTACATTTTTCCTTTGCAGGTCTCGGACAACTGCGATGCCATCTTTGTGAATGGGAAGGAAATGAAAAGCAAAGTGGACGCCCTGGTGAACTTCACCTACCAGCATTTTACCACTCAGCTAGAAGTCCCTGTCTGGGTCCCACGGCTCCCGTTGCAAATTGAGATCTCCGATACCGAGCTGAGCCAGATTAAAGGTTGGAGAATTCCTGTCACCTCCAACAAAAGGTATTGGAATCGCATCTTGAATATTTTTTTTCTCTTGGAAATCAGCCAATACCCCCTTTCTGGTGCAATATCCCATTAACTAACACCACCAGCCGGTTGCCTTGGAGAATTTTCTGAGCTCTGCCTGTTAATTCCCAACCTCTTGTAAATGGAAGTGTTATCAGGTGAAGTGAGGAATTTGGCAAGCCTGTCTGAGATGGTATAGGTTCTCCTGCTTGAGCAGGGGGCTGGACTAGAAGACCTCCAAGGTCCCTTCCATCTATTCTATTCTATTCTATTCTATTCTATTCTATTCTATTCTATTCTATTCTATTCTATTCTATTCTATTCCATTCCATTCTCTATTCCATTCCATTCCATTCCATTCCATTCCATTCCATTCTATTCTATTCTATTCTATTCTATTCTATTCTATTCTATTCTATTCTATTCTATTCTATTCTATTTCTATTTCTATTTCTATTTCTATTTCACATAGTGACTAGGCTTTGTTTAACTGGAAAATGAAAAGAAAAAGAGAGAGATGGATTCTTACTTTAATCTCCTTTTTAAATTCCTACCAAAGCACTGAATTCAGATTTGAGCTTTGGATAGTTTAATAACTTCTTGCATTAAATGACTATGACCCAATAAGGACATTCATATTGACTCAAGGTCAGTGGCAATTGAAGGACTCATTTATTCACTATCCCAAAGATGCTTTTTCATAAGGCAACTGGACTTTCTTGTTTTTCTTTGAAGACGTTTCACTTCTCATCCAAGCATTACTTGAATCAACTAAGGATAAAGATAGTTGATGTTGTTGGGTGAACCAACCTCTAATCAAACCTGGTTTAAAGAAGAGGGCTTAATGTGCTATGGATTGTCTTTTTGCAGGGTCCTCTTTCAAAAAATCTTAAGGAATTCTTTTGCTAATCTCCAAGAGTCTAAAACCAGGAAAATATAGATATTATTTCTGATTATTCCTGATCTTTTCTCCCCCCCCTTTTTTTGAATATATTTCACACCCTTGAATTCCTTATCCTGCACAAATATTCACAACAGAAGCATGCAATAGACCCTCTTGTAGAAACCGTAGATGTAATTCCATTAAGAACATTCATCTGGGTGATTCTGTGCATTGAGAAAAACAGCCCACCCAAAGGATTTCATGACAAACATATCCAGTTTAGTTTTGTTCGCTTTTTTTCCAAGAAATTGTTGAAAATTATTGGCTTTTTTGGGGGGGGGGGCCAGGATTTTACAATTCATGGAATTACATTTTAGGCTACAGCGATGTGGTGGTAGTGATGTTGTATATTTGTGCGTGCAAAATTTTTAAAATAAATGGACAAAGTTAACATCCTGTTTTAGACCAGGACTGTATAATGCATCTGGAAATCATTTTGAAATAGGAACAGTTGATTTGGATGTTGGAAACCTCGCTGCTGTATTTCCTAACTTTGTTCATCTTTGCCAAATTAGATCTTTTTTTTTTTTTTTTCTCACCGCTAATGTAGTCTCTTCTGACTACAGTCTGTTCTCCCAGTTGGGAGATTTTACACATATCTGTTTATCCTTTCAGTGTTAGAACCTGGGTCCATCTGTGTGCAAAAGTTATTTTGAGTTCTGCTTCTTCCCCACTGCAAGGACAGATAAACAAAATGGGCGCCAGCCTTTCAAGCAATGCGTTGAATGCCATCAAGCGCGTATTGTCGAGGCTGGCAAAATTTAATAGAGAAAAATGTATCCTTCAGCGGATGAAAAAGCTTCATTTTGTCTGATGCCCGTCTGCTGCATTGTTTCAAGTCTGTATCTGCAGATGTTTGACTGGACCATTTGGGGCGAGATAGCCAAGGCCCACACGCTGCGGCTTGCAATTCGGTTGCCAAATGGTCTAACTTTCAACACGATGCTGCCTTTTCAAAATTTAGCCCCCGAGAGGCATCTGGTTTGCATCGATCAAGCCAGCTGCAATCTTGCTGTACTGTTTGCAAGCCGGTAAACTGTTCCCACCAACTACTCTTTCGATTAGTGCCAAGCCACGGGGCACATCTTCTCGCCAAGCTTGGTTTTTGTTGTTGTCAAAAAGCAGAGATGAGAAAGAGCTGCGTGGAAATGACAGTTAAATGTGGCCTGCCAGCGTGCTCTCTCTCTCTCTTTGTAAGAGTCTCCTGCAGAAGTTTGTTCTTTCAGCTGCGAATGATCGAAATAAATGGATTTCAGACATTGAAGTCTTCAAAACAGACCAGCACCAGCCCAGAACTTAAACTCCTCAGGCTCCAGATAGGGCAGCTTCAATAGAAATATAAAAACGATCCTGTTTTGATGTTTTGGAATTCACAGTAAGAAAAATTCCAGCAATTAAGAGGATTGGGGACATGAGATTAGGACCGAGGAAACTCAATAAATTGAGCCTTGCCAAAAGATAACCTGGGAGATAGGAAAGCTCTCTTCCAATACCTAAAATAATGCCAGATTAAACTATTTTTAATTATCCCAGATTGTAGCAAATGGGTTGCAATCATAGAATGTCAGGGTGAAAGGGGTCTTGGAGAACATCTGACATAGGGTATATGGAGATTCTCAGTCATCCACACCATGTCCCAGAGGTGTAGGAGATGACCAAGCTAGGCCCAAGGGAGGCGTCAAACGTGTCATAAGTCATGAGTCCCTGTGCATTTGCAAGAGATCTAAATCCAGCCCACATTGAATGCCTTTCTTATTTCCCACTCATTTCCCTTGACTGTTAGTTGGTCAGATTCTTGTAGAGAGTGATGCTCATTTGAACTGCCTGAATCTCCTGATTTTCCCGGTGCTTGACATTAATTGCTTTTTCCAGACAACTGGGCTTTCTTAGTTTTTCCTTTGAATTTTTCCCCCTTTTCCTTCAAGAAGAACTGAAGAAGTTTCTTGGATGAGATGAGAAATGTTTTCAAGAAACACTTCCCCCCGGAAAATCCAGTTGTCTTTTGGAAAAAAGCACCTTTGGAACATCTAATGTTGTGTTTCTGAAATCTCAGCAAATTTAAAATTTTATTTATTTATTTATTTATTTATTTATTTATTTATTTATTTATTTATTTATTTATGAGACTTATATACCTCTTTAAGTGGTGTACACCAGTAAGCAATGTATATATATATATATATTTACATTGCCCCCAACAATCTGGGTCCTCATTTTACCTACCCCGGAAGGATGGAAGACTGAGTCAACCTGGAGCCGGTGAGATTTGAACTGCTGACCTGCTGAACACAGTCAGCTAAAGTGGCCTGCAGTACTGCACCCTAACTGCTGCGCCACCTCGGCTCATGTAGGGACTTCAACTCCCAGATGTCATGGTTCCAACGGATGAAACTCTTTAAAAGAACTTTGAGGCATTGTTTACCTTAAAGAATCTTTTATTCGAGAAACAAAGTATCGGCACTACATAGTTAAAGCCAAAAACTGAATTCCACTCCCCTGGGCACAAAGTAGCAAAGCACAATTCCTTCGTTCAATTAACAGTCATAAATCACATTCCCCAATTAGCTTGAAGCGCTGGCTTTTTCCCCAGCTCTCCAGCCCGCCAAATCTTTATCAGCTCTGGGTGCAATAACCTTGATTCCCACGGCTGAGTTTTTTTTTTGTTATGACTAACCGGACTCTCATCCACATCCCCCCTCCCAGCATCATCTAACTCTAAAAACAAAAGAGAAAAGATGGCTATGTTTCCATCTGTTGTCAAAGCAAGAACATCTGATTTTGGCTGGGGAATTCTGGGAATTGAGGTCCCTACATCTGAAAGTTGCTGAGATTCAGAAATGCTGATCTTGTCGATACATTGGCCAGTGCAGGAACCCTTTTGAAAATGTCTCACTACTCCCATTTGTCTCATGACCATCTTTTCCCCGGCTTGTTATGATTCATTCCATAATCCAGTTTTCTGCTCAGACCAAGGGGTTGGGTTCTCTGATCAATATAGTCCTTCCCAACTCTACTTTTTATGTTTCCCACCACCACAACACCCATCAGTTGCGACTTGCACAGCCTACAGGTCACGAATCACAGCAGTTGTGCACCGAGAGAGACAACATGAGATCTACAGCAAGTCTTCCATGCTTCTGTGTCTCTTCCAAGATTCTTGTGCACTGAAATGATCCAGCCACATGCAAATTGATTGTCTCCAATTTTCCCTTGGGGCAAAGTTGCTTTCTTTGAACCATGGAAATGCATTAATTTTCAGTAAGGAAATCAAGATGGGGGTTCCTACTCTCCAAATAGATTATGGAAAGCTGACAAGCTTACTATGGTTCTTCATGTCATTACCAGTCCCTTAAAAGAGGAGGGCTCTGAAGGAGACAGGAAACCTGGAATTCAGGCAATAGGGCATTCTCCGCAAGGATACTTTTCCAGTTGGAAATGTGGTTTCTGGTTAGGTATCTGCTCAGAATTAATGTACTATGGCACATGTCGAATAGCTTCTGAAATGGAGTGCCCCTGATCACGGCAAATGAAAGGAATAAATTTAGGTTAAAGTCAAGTCAGAGTTGGGAGTGAGGCAGGCTAAGACTGATGGCCTTAATAAGAACATTTATTTTGATTCATTACATGGCTGGAGAAGAATTATTCCCTTGTTCAAGTTCCTGCATCACTTTTGCAGGCCAAGAGCTGAGAAGACTTTTCGCTCTTGAAAACGGCTGGCTAAAGAGCCAGTTTACGCTCTGAATTTTGATAATCCGGCCTCTTTTTTTTCCTCTTTTCTTTCGTTCAATGCAAGCTTGCTCTTCCCTGCTCAGTAATTGGTTGAAGAGTTCAACCTTTGGAAGTACAGACTTAACAACCATTGCAAATGTTCAAAATTACAATGGCACTGAAATAAATGACTCACGGCCTGTCCTCACAATGATGACCATTGGAGTCCTGGTGGCACAGTGGTTAGAATGCAGGACTGCAGGCTAATTCTGCTGACTGCCAGCTGCCAGCAGTTCGCAGTTCAATTCAAGGTTGACTCAGCCTTCCATCTTTCTGAAGTCGGTAAATTGAGGACCCAGATTGTTGGGAGGCCAATAGGTTGACTCTGCAAACTGCTTAGAGAGGGCTCTAAAGCACTGTGAAGCAGTATATAAGTCTAAGTGCTCTTGTCCTTCCTTCCTTCCTTCCTTCCTTCCTTCCTTCCTTCCTTCCTTCCTTCCTTCCTTCCTTCCTTCCTTCCTTCCTTCCTTCCTTCCTTCCTTCCTTCCTTCCTCTCACTGCCAGCAGTTCGATTCTGACCGGTTCAAGGTTGACTCAGCCTTCCATCCTTCCGAGGTCAGTAAAAGAAAACCCAGATTGTTCGGGGCAACATACTGACCCTGTAAACCGCTTAGAGAGGGCCGTAAAGCAATGTGAAGTGGTATATAAGTCTAACTGATATTGTTCTTCCTTTCCCCCTTCCTTCCTTCCTTCCTTCCTTCCTTCCTTCCTTCCTTCCTTCCTTCCTTCCTTCCTTCCTTCCTTCCTTCCTTCCTTCCTTCCTTCCTTCCTTCCTTCCCTCTGCCCACTGAGTCCAATTCTGATCGGCTCAAGGTTGGCTCAGCCTTCCATCCTTCCAAGGTCAGTAAAATGAGGACCCAGATTGTTGGGGGCAAATATGCTGACTCTGTAAACCACTTAGAGAGGGCTGTAAAGCACTGTGAAGCGGTATATAAGTCTAAGTGCTATTGCTTTCCTCACAGTCACATGATCAAAACTGGGGTGCTTGGCAACTGGCATGTATTTGTGACGGTTGCATGGCCCTTGGGTCATGTGATCGCCATTTGCAACGTTCCCAGAGTCAATGGGAGAAGCTGGATTTGCTAGCTTTGCTTAACGACTTCCTGGTTCGTTTAACAACTGCAGCGATTTGCTGAAGAGCAGTGGATGAAAACAGTCCTCAAATCAGGCTACGACTCATTTAACAACTGCCTGGCTTCGCAATGGAAATTTTGGTCTCAACTGGGGTCATGAGCCGAGAACTACCTGTCTGGGAGAAAAATCAGAGTATCAGTATCTTTCTCACGATGTGCGTATCTGCCTTGACAGGCCCACCCGTGACAGTGACGAGGACGAGGATGATGAGAAGAAGGGCAAAGGCTGCACCCTCCAGTACCAGCACGCCATGGTGCGTGTCCTGACCCAGTTTGTGGCAGAATCCTCTGACCTTGGAGGACAGCTGACCTACATGCTTAGCTCTGAATGGCAGTTTGACATCACAGATCTGGTGGCCGACTTCATGAAGGTGGAAGAATCCAAAGTGGCCAAGCTACAAGGGGGGCGAATTTTGATCGGCCGCGAGCAAGGGATCACAACTGTCCAGGTACGAGGCAAAATCCAACCTTGATCGAACACGAACCACACCTTACTTGAACATGGAAGAGAGCTTAAAAAGGGCAGGTCAAACCAGCGGTGGCCGTGCAGACACATTGGCTGATCTGTGAAATTGGGGAGGGGGGATATTTTAGAAACCGCCTCCTGCTAAGGTAAATCAACCAGGTTTGCAGGTAATCAGTCTGAAGGCTGAACTTGGGAGACAAGTTAGGTATTCAAGAACAAGCTGAGAAAAGCTCAACTTTCAAAAGTTCTAAGGAGGCTTCCAAATTCCGCCTTCTTGCTTGGGACTCAGTTCTGTTGAACTCAATGAGACTTCCAAGCAGACACGTAAGGGCAGTGGATTCTTTGGCATATTTGAAGGTTAACACTGTCTTCTTGGCAAGCTAAACCTGCCATAGGTTTGGGGCGGTGTTGAAATATTTGAGAGAGTTTGAACTTTTCAATGGTCACTTTAATTGGGAGGAGAACAATCTGCTTCTTTCTTTAGTGGACCAGATGAATGATGGGTCTGAAGAAGACCTCTCCCAATTCTTGCTTTTTAAAAAAACCACTGTCTGCCTCTCTTAGGTTGAGCAATGTGTGTATGTTTTCACCCTCTTCTCCCACATTCGCATTTTAAGGTCTTTTCTCCCCTGTCCGATTCCATTCTGGCTGAGAAGACAGTGATTGTACTGGAGGACAGAGTGACCATCACGGACCTCGGAGTACAACTGGTGGCGGGCTTGTCCTTGTCTCTCCAGACAAATAAAGGGAATAAGAGATTGATGGTTGCAACAGCCTCTGCTTCGGATATTCTGCATGCAGCTAAACAGGTAGGAAGGATTTAGGGATCATCCTCCACTGGAAACCTAGAGGAATGTTTACATTTGTCTGAAAATAAGATTGTAAAAGAAACATTTGAAGTGACCAGGGAGTTAATGCGAAGGACAAACTTGTACATTGTACAGCCCAATGTGGATATGGAACTGGATTCTGCCTGTCTATTATCTTTCTCTCTCTCTCTCTCTCCATCCATCCATCCATCCATCCCTCCCTCCATCCATCCATCTAATCTAATCTAATCTAATCTAATCTAATCTAATCTAATCTAATCTAATCTAATCTAATCTAATCTAATCTAATCTATCTACCTACAATATATATCTAATCTTTCTACCTACAATATATATCTAATCTATCTATCTATCTATCTGTCTGTCTGTCTGTCTGTCTGTCTGTCTGTCTGTCTGTCTGTCTGTCTATCTATCTATCTATCTATCTATCTATCTATCTATCTACAATATGTATCTAATCTTTCTACCTACAATATATTAATATTTCTATCATCTATCTATCTATCTATCTATCTATCTATCTATCTATCTATCTATCTATCATCCATCCATCCATCCATCCATCTTTCTATCTATCTATCTATCATCCATCCATCCATCCATCCATCCATCCATCCATCCATCCATCTATCTATCTATCTATCTATCTATCTATCTATCTATCTATCTATCTATCTATCTATCTATCTACAATATGTATCTAATCTTTCTACCTACAATATATTAATATTTCTATCATCTATCTATCTATCTATCTATCTATCTATCTATCTATCTATCTATCATCCATCCATCCATCCATCCATCTATCTATCTTTCTATCTATCTATCTATCATCCATCCATCCATCTATCTATCTATCTATCTATCTATCTATCTATCTATCTATCTATCTATCTATCTATCTATCTATCTATCTATCTACAATATGTATCTAATCTTTCTACCTACAATATATTAATCTATCTATCTATCTATCTATCTATCTATCTATCTATCTATCTATCTATCTATTTATCTATCTATCTATCCATCCATCCATGTATTATCTATCTATCTATCTATCTATCTATCTATCTATCTATCTATCTATCTATCTATCTATCTATCATATTTCTAAACCACCCATCTCAAAGAGGGACTCTGAGCAGTATACAACAACATATTGTAATAGAAAACAGGATCTAAAAAAATTAAAACAGTGTATCATCTAGCCCACTCAACCAAATTGTTGTAAACTCTTGCTTTCTAAATTTAGAGCTCCGGCTGACAAACAAGCGAGGAGATGCTCAGAGCAGTGGTGAAACCATCTCAAGTGTTGGGTTGTGAAAAAAAATATATATGCTAAGCTCTTGGTCCCTTCCATCCTAATGACAAAATTTGATCAAAAAATAGAGTGAGGACTACAAGAATATGGATTTTTGGTATATCCGGTGCACTGATGGAAAACTAGAAACAAGCCAGGATGATCATTGGGAAAATTTTTGCCCATATTCTCAGATAATTGCTCCCCCCCCCCAAAAAAAAGTAAAGAGAAGAACCAAGGTACATTATTTCAAAGAATTAGGCAGGCTTAGGAAAACAACATTTGGACCGGTAATTTCAGGCAAAGAGGTGAGATGGATTTCAGGGTGCCTCGTTTATTAAAGTGGTTGGAATGCAAATCACCAGATTGCTTACATGCAAAATGCATTCTAAGTCATGCAGATGGAAAGATTATGTTAAATGTGAGCATTCATTCTTTTAAAAGCCACTTGTGTGCAAAGCAATTTCCAGTTGGTTGTTTTAAAAACAAACCAGCGTAGCAGACTCTTGGGGGGGTCTCTGATTTATCCACTTTAGCATCTGTATACTGTATATATATATTTTATTTCGCGTAATCTAAAGTTTTTTTTAAAAAGAAAAATGCACACCTTTTCTGTAAACGCTCTGCTCCATTATCGGCAGAATCTCCGCTCCCAAAGTGAGTGAGGATAAAGGAGATCTCTGCAACCCTGTGAAAACCCTACAGTGAGCTATCCATTTCGAGGAGGTGGGGAAGGAAAGAAAGCATACATTCAGTTTGATTAAAAGCATAATACCGCAAAGATCGGTTTTATTTCCCTCTTCGCTTCCTGCCCCTGTGTGTGATTGGACCAATAATGAAAGCAGTCTGTTTGATTTCCCTAAAGAGGAGAAACAACAGATCCTTCAAATGAGTCATCTAGAACAGGGGTGCCCAACCCCTGGTCAGTGGACCAGTACCGGGCTGCGGCATGCCAGCAACCGGTCCGCACAAACAAGGAAAGCCCCATCCACAGGATGCAGACAACACACAAAACCACACACTCTACAGTCTGTGGAAAAAAAATCTCTTCACGTAACCGGTCCCTGGTGCCCAAAAGTTTGGGGGCCTCTGGTGTAGAAGACCCCAAATGGCACCAATGGTTTTTCCAACTCTTTGGGATCCTAACTCTAAATCTGTCCAGAGTCCCTTGTGATGACTGCTGTTTCTGCTTCTCAAACCCCCAAGAGATCCAATCCACAGTTCTTTTGCTTCTAACCTAATCTTATTCGTAACCATTTGCCTGAGAAGAATGTTGGGTCAAAGTCAGGTGCCAAAGACCAGGTCCACAGATGAAGGACTAATTAAATGAGCCGAGGTGGCGCAGCAGTTAGAGTGCAGTACTGCAGGCCACTTTAGCTGACTGTGTTCAGCAGGTCAGCGGTTCAAATCTCACCGGCTCAAGGTTGACTCAGCCTTCCATTCTTCCGGGGTAGGTAAAATGAGGACCCAGATTGCTGGAGGCAATGTAAATATATATATACATTGCTTACTGGTGTACACTGCTTAGAGAGTGCTTGCACTTAAAGCGGTATATAAGTCTCATAAATAAATAAATAAATAAATAAATAAATAAATTGATTCATTGCTAAAAGCCTGTGTACAGGAATCTTCTCATCTAACTGTTAGGAGTTAGGTAAAGGTCCAAGGAATTCAAGGGAGATTGGACTTAGTTTGCTTGTGACTATGTAGGGATTCTAAGCTGATTCCTCTTTTAACTCCGCCTCCAGGTTCTGCCACTCTTTCCCCTACAGTTATAATGAACTGAACTGAGTTGAATTGTGTAGGGTCATCCGTTACCTTCACTCTGACATTTCTCTGCTCCTTTTTTCTCTCACTGTAGGAAGCGGTGCTTAGCACTTGGCTTTTATTTAGCGATGGAACTGTGACCCCTTTAGATATCTACGACCCCAAGGATTTCTCCTTGGTTGTCACCTCGCTGGATGAAATGGTGGTGTCTGTCCATCAAAGGCAGGAAGATGACTGGCCAGTAGTGGTGGCCGAAGGTGAAGGCCAAGGACCGTTGATTAAAATAGAACTGGTGATCAGCGAGGCCTGCCAGAAGTCCAAGCGCAAGAGTAGTTTGGCCGTTGGGAAAGGGAACATCAAGGTGAAATTTGCTCCAAAGACATCTGAACGCAATGAAGAGACCAAGAATGGCAAAGATGCAGAGAGTGGTTTTAAAAGTAACTCGATAGAAAATCCCCTGGAAGGAGAGAGAGCAGGGCAGGACTGGTCCAAACATGATGCTTCCATGAATCAGGATGAGTTGACCAACTCAAACTCAAGCTCTTTCTTTAATTCTCACAGAGAGGAACACCTTCGAAACAATTCTCTTACCTCTACGAGCTTTCCCACCCAAGAGGCTGTCCCAAGGCAGAATAGCCCCAGTGATCTCACCCTGACTTCCAGAGGTTTAACCGATCTGGAGATTGGGATGTACGCTCTTCTCTGTGTCTTCTGCTTAGCCATCCTGGTCTTCTTAATCAACTGCGTGGCGTTTGCCTGGAAGTACCGTCACAAAAGATTCACCATCAGTGAGCAAGGGAACCTCCCCCATTCCCACGACTGGGTGTGGCTGGGCAACGAGGTTGAGCTGTTGGAGAGTCCTGTGGACATTTCTCTCCCATCGGACGAATGCACCGCCATCATTGACCGCGGGATACTTTTTGAAGAAAGCAACTTCCTCCTCAACGGAAGTTCTCAGAAGAGCTTCCACAACCAGATCCTTCGGTCTTCTGAATATGATTGTGACAAGGACTTCAGAAACGAACCTATACACCCTCCCGGGCCCAAGCGGAAGAGGGTTAAATTCACCTCCTACACCACCATTCTGCCGGAGGATGGTGGCCCCTACACCAACTCCATTCTCTTTGACGGTGATGATGACATCAAATGGGTTTGCCAAGATATGAACTTAGGTGATTCCCAGGAATTTAGAGACTATATGGAAAGACTTCAGGACCATATGTAAACACACACAGACAGACAGACAGAAACAACCATACATATATAAATATATATAGAACAAAACACAATTATCTTTTTATGTTTGTATTCACCTTTATGCCTTCTGTTTTATGGATGATGGAGCAGCGAAACCCAGCCAGTGATGGAGAACACTTCTCCAGATTTGGGAGATCTGGGCTCACGATGGTTGTGAGATGGAATCCTGGCTGTGTTCTCTTCTGTTTCATTGGATACCAAACAGCTACCTACAAATCTTGGAGAAACACGAAGAACTTTTTTTTGTACGCCACCAGAAACTTGTGATAGCCAATCCTGTTCAGCTCGAGACAAAGAGGATGGGTTGGTCCACTACGTTTTCACACGTTGGGAAAAAAAAACATTTTGGAGACTGGGATGGGGTGGGGTTGATTTCTTTTTATTCTTTCCCTCTAGAAAATCTTTGTAGAAGCACAGTTGAGATTCCGTCTTCATAGCTGGAATCCACACCTCCTTGCAAAGAATTAGAACAAAATGGCCTGTTGGTCAAACACGGACCAACGTGCCCTTTTTATTTCATTTTTAATATGGCTCATTTGTTTTGGGGTATTTGTTTAAAGAGCTTTCTTGATTTTTTTTTAAATTTGGGGGGGCAGAGGAGGTGGGATGGGGGGGGGCGTTCTCGGTACATTATATGCCCTTTCTTTTGAGAAGACTTTTCAACCTTGGTTGTGCCAAAGTATCCTGCAATATAGTCCTAGAGTTAAAGGGAGACTGGGATAGCTATTTCGAGCTAATTAGCTCTCATCAGCCAGCCATACCCTTCTATATATTCATTGAGAGCAATGAGGAATGTGCCCCGATTAAATAAGCGGCAGGGGTTTTTTTGTTTGGAAAAAAAAAATACTTGTTTGTATAAAAGTCCAGTTTTCCATTTTGATAGAGGCCTTCTCACTTCCTCTTTTAGTAACTGGAGAGGGGATAACAAGGCTGTGAGGTTTTCACATGATTTTGCGGGGTGTTTGTATGTGTGAAAGAACAGGATAAGATTTCCAACAGAAGTTAGTTTGTAGAGCTTGCCTAGTCTGAGGCTACAGTCCCTACCTAGCTGATCAACGATCTTTGCATATAGAACATAGAATCCTAGGGCTGGAAGAGACCTTGGAGGTCTTCTAGTTCAGCCCTTTGCTCAAGGCAGGAGCCTTACGCCACCCCAGTCAAATGGTTGTCCAGTTTATTTTTTGAAAACCTCCAGTGAGGGAGCACCCATAATTCTGAGAGGCAAGCTATTCCACTGATTAATCGTTCTCACTAACAGGAAATTTCTCCTTACTTCTAACTTGGATCTCTCCTTGATAAGCCTCCATCTGTTTCTTCTTGTCCTGCCTCAGGTGCTTTGGAGAACAGGTTGACCCCCCTCTTCTCTGTGATAGCCCCTCAAATACTGGAAGGCGGCTAACGTGTCCCAATGCAGCTGATTGGGCTAATTCCATTCAGTGTATATAAGGTCTCCTGCTTGAGCAGGGGGTTGGACTAGAGGACCTCCTGAGTCCCCTCCAACTCTGTTATGCTCTTCTGTTCTCAGTTTCAACCCTGCACAGATTTTTTTGTGCTTCTGGGGACCCAAAGAGAACAAAGCAAAGCACACAAACAAAACACACAACTCTCCCAGTGGTTCTACAAATCTGAAATTCAGTCGTTTGGAGCAAAACCAGGAGGTCTTCGGATCTACCTTCCTCCTTGTCCTGGGGTAGGAGTCCTCATGCCCTCTTTAGACGAATGATTGTCCAACCTTCACTTGAAGCCCTCCAAGGATGGAGCACCCAACGAGGTGTGCACGCCGTCGCGATGGACGTCTTTCCTCTGGAATTTTCTTTTAACACCGATCCTTGGTGAGAAGGCCTTCCCTAAGCCATTCAAAAAGGCAACGGCATCTTGTTTTCTTCCCAAAAAAGCATCTTTGACCCCATGTGCATGTTGATGCGAGACCAATTCATTCATGAACGAATTGATGAAAGCAGTGGTGGGATTCAAATCGGTGAACAACCGGTTATCTGTGTGGATGCCGCTTCCGGAAGTCCGTTCTGGGCTCAGTCAACAAAAAATTAGTTACCGGTTCTGCTGAACTGGTATGAACTGGCTGAATCCCACCACCTATGAAAGCTCCTATCATAGGTTGACCGTCATGTTCTTCAAGTTGTGTGAGCAACCCTGATTTGTATCTCTTTTTTTCCCCAGAGGTGGGTTTTGCAACTGCCTGATATTGCTTCATTTTCTTACTTTGGAACTCCCCCTAAGATCTATGTTCTTACAAGGGAACTGTATATACAATAAAAAGATGGGGAAATATAAGAGAATTTTTAGCAGCATTTTGGGACATTCTTTTGAAGCTTCATAGCAGTAGGGGTCAATGGTGGGCTGGGTCACGTTTACAGCTGCCATCTTGGTTCTTTGAACCTCTCCTCCCTCTCATGAATGGGTAGGTCCCAAGCCCTCATGGTTATTGAGTCTTCTCATGAGGAGTCCTTGGTGCTCTCTGAGTTTGGTGGTAACATCATCAGACTAGCACTGATGATGTTACCTAGTTGGGTCATGAAACGCTGCAAGTAAACTACCAAGCTCAGAGAACATGGATTATTCCTCCTCCTCCTCCTCTCTGCAAACCCCTCTCCCTTCTAGCACTGATGATGTTACTTAGTTGGGTCATGAAACGTCTGCAAGGAAACTCCCACACTCAGAGAGCACAAAGACCCCTCATTTACAAATAGTCGCCCAAGCCATCCATCTCGTAGTATCCCTGATTCTGAAATCCCCATTTACACAGCACTTGGAACCTGGTTTCTGATTTAATCCATTTGGGGGGTTCAGACAGAACATGTGACCCCTACAACTCAAGACACCTCCCCAAAAAAAGCAAGACAAATCAAAACCATTTAAACCACCTTCAGCCACTCAACTGCCAAAGTTGGAAGGAACACTTGGCCCTTGGCAAAGCAATTATTTATGGAGTAGGGGCCGAGAGTTTATCAGCTTGGTTGAAGTCCCATTTTGAAAACTTTCTGAGAAGCTTGCAGATTATGAATAAAACCAACTTTTGCAATCTGATGTCCTCTGTGTATGTTGAGATATGAAGCCTGGCTTGGTCTGCAGATCGGCTTGGTGGGCATTCAGAAACTCACAAGACTTTCCAGAGCAGGCTAAGATTGCAAGTGGGTGAGGATTCTGTAGACAGAAAGTGATAAACATCCAGATGTTGACCCCAACCGTGCACGGGAACCCCTGCCCCTTTTTAACGGCAAAGGGGGCAATAGTCCCACAGTTGTGACCATCCTCTTGACTTTTTTTTTTTTTATTCCTCTAACAAATGCGCTTTCTGCCAAAGCTGCAGGAAAGCCTTTGCAACATAGATGTTATGGGGGATTTTATTTTATATTTTTAAAGCAAAGCCTTGAAAAGAAACTACACTGAAAGCTTTTATGTTGCTTTCTTCTCCAGAAAGAGCTGTTTCTAGGAAAGCTATCTCAGAATGCTTTTTGGAGTGGCGTATTACTTATGGAGTTCAAAGAAACACGCTTAAAGTATATCGGGGGGAAAAAAATCCCTCCAAAAATCAGAAGGAGGCTGTTGATACTTGGCTATTTAAAAGTCTCCGGTTTTACTTTGGGATCCAGACTTTTTGGTCAATTAGGACAGAGATGAATTGGAGAGGCAGAAGTCTGAATTCTTGGGACGTCCTTTTGCCGAAGAAAATGATTTCAGACTGCAAAGATGCCCCCAGATTCATATCCAGATGGCAGAAAGAAGTAAATTAACCCCCAAAAGACATTTCCCAGCAAGACGAGAGAGTTGCAGTGAGTGGTACAGCTGGGGTATTCACAAGAATTGATCCATCACCCCAGCAGATGGAATTTAGCTCAGCAGCAGAGAAAATGGATGACCAACGAGACAGGAGATTTATCATTTTTTTTAAAGAAACAAAAAGAGTAAAGAATCATATCCAGGTATATTTAGAGCGTGTATCAAAAGACATAACCATCACCGCATGGGGGAGCTTGAACATTTGTATAACAGGCCTGATGCTTGTAAAATTCTGGATGGGACTTGGGAGATGATTCCCCCAACATTGTAATGTAGTGGATGGGAATAACTATGTGGATGTATATAGTTCTCAAAGTGTGTGAATGGAGATGGAAAGGGTGATGGTGAGGAAGCTGAACAAGTAATGAAGGGAGCTATCAGGCAAGAAGAATCTGGACCACATGTTTAGCTCCAGTTAAGCTGATTTATCGCTCAAGAATCTAGTCAACTAACGGTCAGCACTAAATTGGCAACAGAGAAGAGTTAACGGAATTCATAGGAGGTTAGTTTGTGGGAACGTCATGATTCCAGGCTGATTGCTCTCTTGCCTCCACCCCCAGCATCTGCCTGTCCTTCTCCTTCAGCAACCTCTTAATTTCTGGAGATAAATTTCAGTGAATGAGCATTCCAACCTCAAATTATGACAAGCATTTGCTAATTAGCAACTGCGCAGCGGGGAACCCGATGCGAAACATTAATGAGCGTGACTGGACTCTTGTTTTCCTGCTGCTTTTTTTTTTAAAAAAAAAGAATATTTGAAAACTATATATTGAAACAGTGCTCTGAGTATGACAGCTTTACTGGCGTTTGCAGATTGATGAGGAATTAAAAGGCCTAAGAATCTTCCTGTAGACAAAACTCATCTTGGAAGCAACTATTTTCTATTCAGAAAAGAGGAAAAGGCGCTTAGCTTTTAGAATGAGATCACATCAACTCTGTGTGAAATTTTAGTTTCACGAGCAGGTTGATCGATCACACGTGCAGAGTTTTTGAGGTGCAATTCAATTCAGTTTTTGCTTTGAAATCTTGGAGGGTGGGGAGAACCGAAAGAGGGGAAAATTAGGCAGGTTTACATCAAGACCTTATAAGCAATTGGGGTACAAAGAGGAACTGGTCTGGGTCTTTCTCTGTTTCCCATGCCAATAAAATAACAGTCATCCCTATGGACCACCACATGTTGTGATCAATTTTTGCTGAGGTTTTTTGGAGAAACAAAAATCTTCATTGACCATGTTGTTGTTGTTGTTAGTTGCAAAGTCGTGTCCGACCCATCGCAACCCCATGGACAACATTCCTCCAGGCCTTCCTGTCCTCTACCATCTTCTGGAGTCCCTTTAAGCTCATGCCTATTGCTTCAGTGACTCCATCCAGCCACCTCGTTGACCATAGAAGCCTTCAAACGGCCTCCTGGGGTGTTTATGATTCTGAATTAATGTCACCTGACTTCTCTGCCTTAATTTATTCACCGTAAACTATAAATATAGTTTATAGTTTAAATCTCAAGAGAGGTCCATCTTGACTGTTACAGGTAGGACTGTAACTTTTAGTTGACTTACTTGAAAGAAAGACTGTGGGTCAAATTGGAGGAGCTAAAAAAAACAACCACTGTTCACCGTGGCAAAAGAAGCTAGCTGAACTGAGTCTTCTTGCATCAAAGCTTTGATTCAAGCTATCAGGAGTGAGTGATTCTGTTCTCCAAACTGAGGCACTACTCCAAAATCAGCTTGATGCTCTGGTTTGAAGTAAGGCCTCAGGGAGG